AACACCCCGTAGGACTGTAGGAATATAGAGTAACGACGGCATGAGTGACAACTGGGGCAGACTAAACAGACTGCCCTGCGTCATTGTGCAGGCTGAGTAAAACAGGAGAATGAGAGCTAAAATCCTAATTACGTAAGTCATCCAGACAGTTGGTTTTGTCATACGTGAGAGCAGAGAGCTGCCTTCCCAATGCCAGGCTTTTGTCTTAACCCTGTTTTTATGCCTGTGTTTGGTTCGCATCTTGAGCTGCCCCTGGCAGAGTTCCAGTCCTGGAAGCTGACCCCGGTCAGGAAGTATCCCAGCGTGTGTTCCTCCAGGACATCAGGGCTGGTTGATGCTAGGCCAGATGCACAGCGAATGTAAACCCAAAAGTGACCAGAAGGGCTCATGTGACAGGCTTGTGCTGGGAATGGAAGCAGGGTTACCTAGATAATGACTTCAGCCAGCTTCCACAGCAGCCTCACAATGCGTTCGTTAGTGGCCTGATGCAATGTGCATGCTAATTAACAGGTATCTGTTCCTGATCAGCAGTGACCACAGCTGACGGGTTTGTCTTGAGCATTAGGTTCTAGGAAACTCGTTAGAAGAAAGGGCCATGATTTACCTAATTCGTGTGTAACCACATACATCAGTGAAGCCAGCCTTAGTGCAGCAATGCTCCAGGGGACCGGTCACGGGCAGGCTGGAATGGGTCTGGGACGGGACCAGGGTGGCTGACATTAGAAAGGGCTGCGGGATAACCAGGCGATGGAGAGCTTAGGTGTTGGCTGGCTGGGGCTGCTGAGGATCTTTGGTGTCTGAGATAAGGGACAGTGGTAATTGGTAGCAAGGGAATATTAGGGCAAAAGAATCTGTGGGCACTGGGGGAAGATGAGAGGCAGGTACTGAATTCCAAGCATACATGTCCAGAAAAGTCTAGGATGAGTATCTGACCCTCAGCTTGGCGTTGAATATGGCAATAAGGGTCTCATCCATCTGCGGCTTGAATGAAATTAAATTAAGAGATAATAAGGCCTGGTTTTTATTTTAAGCTCCTGGTAGTAGGAACGCTAGCACAGCGTATTTTGGGCACAAAGACGCTGCAGTTAGTAGTACCCAGTCATCCTCGCGGAATAATTCAGTGCCAAAACGGTTCGGTCAGATTCTGTTCCATGCAGTCAGTTTTCAAAGAACCAAACCATTTAAATTTCTAGTATCTATCAAGCCGTGGCTCATCCGGCAAGAGGGGCTCCCTGAGAAAGCTGTCTGACCCGGCTGGTGTGAGCTGTGACGTGCCTGCGGCACAGCACGGCCCCGCTCAGAGCTGGACGCCGCCCTGCTGTACCGCTTCTGGCGCGAGCAGCAGCAGCCCCGGGCTGCCGCCCTGCCCGCTGCTGCGCTGGGAAGACACCCCCTGAGACACCAGACGAGTTCTGGAACCGTGATGAATGTTTTCTTTTTCTTCCAGTTTGACTCTGGCAGAAGTTTTCTTTCCATGCAGGCTGGATAATGCTCTTGGCTGAAGCTATGGCATATGTAGGGCTCTCTTTGTTCAGTTCCCATAGTCAGGGCCTGGTCAATCAGTGGGCTTTGAATAAACCCATCAGCATGTTGGATTCTCGGGAAAAAAATAGCGGATTGATACGAAGCATTGAGTGCTACTGCTGGTTTACGAGAGTTTACTTGGAATTGTTTTATTCCTTTGGTTTCTTATTTGTAAATTTAATCTCTCTCTCAGCATCCAGTGCTGTATTTCTTTGCTGCTTCTACCAGTGTCATCTGCTTAATCCTGTGCACGTTACCCTCTTTGGTCATGAAATTCAATTCCTTTCTGTTTCACAGGTTCAGAGTCAATGTCCAATTGTAAAGTGAACCATAAAAGCTCTGTGTTTATATTGTCTGTTGATGTTGCGCAGCACCCTGGGGTGCTTAGAAGAAAGGCACTCTCAGAGCAGGCATTTGACTGATGGATTGAAAGCACCATCTCCCTTAAAAACTCTGGCTTGACATTTTGTAATCTGTTTTTTGTGGTTAACACATTTTCTGTCCAAAGGCAGTTCAACCAGGTGGCTGAGAATAAGGCTTTCACTAGCAGAAGAATGAAGGTTTTGTAGATAACACTAATACGGGGTTCACGTTATCACCCATCACATTGGCCAACAATTAGATCCCCGGGTGAATGGTAAGCAACCAGAAGCGAGAGGAAAAGAAAAGGAATTTGCAAAGATAGTCACTTGGGAGCCAGGGCACTACCTGGCTCCTGATGAAGTCAGTGGGGCTTTCAACTTGAATATGTGCTACACCAGGCAAGCAAGCCTTGGCTGCGGAGCCGTCAAAGGGAAGTCCTGATGTGAAGTGTCTGCAGAGCTCTGCCCTTAATTAGGCACTGTCTGTACGATGCTTTGAAGAGGCAAAGCGCTAAGTGGAAATGCTAAGTGTTGTTAATTAATTAAGCACTAATCCTCATGAACGAATAGCATGAGGTTAAATAATGAAATGTAAGTATTGTTATTATTACGGCAATTGCCGTTCGGAGTGCGGATTTTTAGCTACGGCGTCAAGGGACAGGAGCTAGCTTGGAACTGAGAAAGCGTAGCAAAGCGTAAGGTACTTTCAGCCAAAGCCTAGAAGACGGCTTGTTTGCTGCTGAGGGAGCTAAAGGTCTGGATAGAGAGCTGGGTTTTGTGAGCTCTTTCAGCCTTCACACGTCTCCTTTATCTCTCACCCTGCTGTTGAGGGGAGGTGCTCATGACCGGTTTTCTCCTCTTGCATCTATGCCTCGGTCACGCTCAGGTGGGCAGCGGACTAGAAGAGAGACGGGAATAATAACGGCGTTGCTGTATCCCGCCCGTGCCATCTCCCTCTTTGCCTCATGTTTAAGTAACGCTGGTGAGCGCCACGCTCAGGAGGAGGGACAGAGGCGAGCAGGCTGGCAGCAGGACCGCCATCAGCGAGGGCTGATGGAGCCAGAGGAGAGGGTGCCTTCAGCGACAGACGACCTGCTGCTGTGTCCAGCTCGGGTTTGCCTCGCTAGCACGGGCACCAGTGGCAGCTCCTTCCTCTCCTCTGTCTTCTCTTTCTTAGGCTCTAGAACAACGCAAAGAAGCACGTGGTGGTGGTGGTGGTGCTAAGGATTGGTACCTCTACCCCCGAGTCCCCTTCCCCAAATGCCTGGCTGATAGGATCTGAGGGGATCCAGCTGACGGGCTGAACTTACTGTGATGGAAAATGGCGCAGCAGAATGAATCAGAGCATTACATGGTCGCGTGGATTAGTCACCAAGAAAACAATGTGCTCACAAATGGGCGATCTTTAAAGTTTACTAAAATAACACGGTCAGGTTGTCACTTTTTGTAAGATTAAGAACTTACTATTTTTTTACATTACGAATACCATGTGTCAAGGTATCTGGTTACTGGCTTGGGTTTTTTTCTGGTATAATTTCAGTCACATTAAGTGGGTGAGTGAGAGCCTCTTGCGTTATAGATAGCATTGCCTGAAGTTAAAGATCCGAACAGAAGTGTAGTCAGGCATGTAGTCACGATAAAAGGACAGTGAAATCAGTGAACTATTACAGCAGCTCGGTGAATTCTCCCTCATGAAGACTGTGTTAACTGCAGTTGGGAATGCTGGAGTCAATGGCTTGATTTAGCGAAGGCCGGTGGCAGGTGACCAGCGTGGCTCACAGCTCAGAGGCACAGACGTCAGCGGTTGATGGTATATGGCATTCCCCTGCCTCACGGAAGACGTTCCTGTTCCAGTGGCTATGCAGTTATTTATGAGGAGTGTCGGAGCTCCACAAGAGCATCCTGTAAGCCCGTGGTTTGGGCACCAAGCCACGCGGCAAAGGTCTGCCTGAGTAGGCCTGGAACATGTGTCTCCCCTGGGGGGAGGAAGTGCTGTGATGATCTTGCCATTTTGCTCTGAGCTGTATCTTGTGCCTGTGAACAACTCCGGTTTCACTGAAAGTAGGATCTTCTCAGGGTAAAGCTTTGATTTTAATGTGCTGACGCTTCCTGATGAAAACCAGTTTTGTCCACTTGGGGCCAGCCCTACTTCTCCAGTTTGTAACAGGATCAGACAGGTCTCTGACAGCAAAATGGACTGGTGAAACGCAGCGGTTACTCACGTACCTTATCTCGCGTACGCTGAAGCGTGGCTGAGAGCTGGACTCGGTGACATTTAGAAAGCATCACTGCTTTCCGTCTTGAACCTGTTCGTTCTCAATGCTGTTTTCCAAGCTTTCCTAAATCCTTTGGGCCATATTCAGGCTTCTCACATGAGCACATGAGGCATTGGAGGTGACTCTTACTGCATATGAAGTTGGATCCTCCTGGATCCTTTATTACTTAGGGCTTCCATACTTTGGTT